TGAATTGTGGGATCATAGCTGATTTTTATCTTGTTTACACTGTGTAGATTACACATTATCTACAATAAGTCTGTGTTATTGTTATCACAAAAAAGAAAAAAAGAAAAATTAAATTCTAAGCCACAAAATCACCAAGATGCTATTACTAATATAAGGCAAAATACTATACAAGCTCCTATTTTCCCATAAAACTCATTAGTAGGTATTGCTTGGCCTTATACAAAAGTCAGAATGCTCTCCTTACATTACCCATGATTTTTGTCTGTGTTCTGCAATTACTCTCTGTCATTAGCTTTTCTGTCCAAAAGAGTAGCTATGGAGGACTTGAACTTGTTCTGTTACCACTGTTCAGTCTCCTCATATCTAAATTCAAAAGCCTATAGTATAAGGTTCTGTGAAATATAGGACACAACATTTGCAGAATTGTTAACAAAATCCATGTCTCCATTAATGAATTGTGATTGAATTACCAAACTGCAAAATGTGTGTAGGAAGGGGAGATATAGGTATAGCTGCAGTCTTTCCTTTCTTCTGTGCCCCTTCATTGCCTTTTCAGCACTGGGAGAGACAAAGAAGTCACTGAGGATTTTTGATAACAGAAAATTATTTAGACTTTGAGATGGAAAGATTCCATGAGAAGACACTGGGAGTGAATTAACATATAATAATAACCACCATTAGGGAAATTGGATGGAAAAAGAACAATGTCTAGTCAGCATACACTGTGCTAGATCATCACTATATCAATCTATTGTCAGATAATAGGTAGTGACATATGGATGCCATAGACACCTATGTTTGGAGAACTTAAATGAAAGACAGCATGTGCAATGTCAAGGTTATTACTGATTGAAAAGTAATGATGGCTATTTGCCATTGGAGTGCATCAACTGAGTAAGGAATCTAGATGGGGCCAATGGTAGCTGGGTGATACATAAAAATAAATGTAATATATTTTGCCTATACTCCTCTGTTTCTCTATATCTGTACATTTCTTGAGAATTCACATTTATAGTTAAATTCTAAAACTATCTCTAGATATCTATATGCCAGTAATATTAGATTTAGCTTCTTGTGTATTTTATCTGTTAGTACACTTAATGTAATGGGTTATTTTGGTTTCTCAAACTATTCACTGTATACATGGACTAAATCAGCTCAATTTGAATTAGGACTACTATGAAGAGTACAATTTGTTCAATACGTAGGACAGCATGTACAACAAAATTACACAGAATTTTTTTTTAATTTTAAACTAATTTGGTGATGCTTGAGATAACTATAGGGGTATTACAAATTAGGTTACTTGGAAAGCAAATTCTAAAATAGAGCTTTGGGGACAGAGAGTTTATTTCAGTTATACACTTTGTAATAACACATGTCATGTCAGGGTGTAAAGGAAGCAGTATTGAGCAGAGAAAGAAGGACACTGTAGCAGTTATAATAAAGGGCCGAGATGATGCCATGGCAAACTTTAGAAATCATATTGCCTTTCAGAATTGTCCTGAATTGAGAGGGCAGAAACAAGATTTTTATACCCTTTCATCAACCACTCATTGGAGGTGGGCTGACCCTTGGAAAGGGGAGTGACCATAGGCGTGGAAGCTCTATTCAGGCCATGGTAAGTTTTGGAAAGGAACACACTTGATAGTTATTGAACACCAATGTTCAGTGCAGCTGGAAAAATAAATGTTTCACTTCTAGAAGAAGGGAGGAGTTTATGGGCAGCAGACCACAGTATCCTTTATAAGATATATGCACATGAATGTATTTTGCATATGTTTTGGGTAGTTTTTTAGTGGATAATTTTATTGTTTTAGGAAAGTACCAGAATAGTCTTCTTGATGTAGATATGCTTCTCATGTAAGGCAGGGAATATAAAAAAATAACCATGCCTAGAAGGTTACAAATTTTCAGACCAAACTATGTTTGCATATATAATAATTAATTTGTTACCAAAAAAGCAAGTTTTATTATAACATCTCTAAGTTGAACAATTAGGGAAAACATCTAAGCAGAGTCAACAAATGTAGACTTTTAAAAAGCATAGTACTGTTAAATGTTTCATATAATAATATACAACTTGGAAAATATTGCCTTACTGAATAATGAGCGAAAAGTGTGTTGAATTTATTCTAAAGTTCCTGTATGAATGTCTAGCTACCTAAGCTGTGTGCTTAATTTGTATACCTACTTCTGGAAAACTGGGAGAAAATGTATATGCATAAAGCTATACACATGCTCAGGGCTGTGGGCATACCAAGGCTAGACATGAGACTGCCCTAAATTTTTAATCTTGGCTAATTTAACCTTGAGGCTCTGTGCCAGCAGAAAGTGATGGCTATGGCATAGATTTTTAACTAGCAATGAAAATTAACCAAAGGTTGTCTGGAGAAAATATATTAATACATCCAAAAAATATATAGTAAGAACACTCAGCCTTGGAAGTGGTGAAGGTGTTTTCCAACATGCACACAGAGCTTATCAACAAAGAATAGGAGATCTATTGCTTTCAGAAACTTAACAAAATATCTGTGTGATATGTTTTTCTTTATTTTTATTGTTGACACTATTACAGATGTCCCCATTTCCCCCCTTTTGCCCACCTCCATCCAGCCTCCACTCTACTTTCCTCTGGTCATCACCATGCTATTGTCTGTGTCTATGAGTTATGAGTATATGTTTTTTGGCTAAGGTATCTGATTAATGGTTTCAGTGACCACACAAGATAAATAATAAAAAAATAAAAAATAAAAAGTAAAGAGAACTTATGTAGAGTAAGTTCAGGAAATCACTACATGGATCAATAGTAAAATCAATAAACAGCAGAACCAAAACCTGAGGAAGCAGAGAATCTGATTTTCAATATTACTATATTATATTACATAAAATGTACACTCATCAACAAATATTATAAGACATGTAAAGGAACAAGAATGTATGAAACACATAGGAAACACCATGGTTGATAAAAACTGCCCTTAAGAAACTACAGATATTGAAATTGCTAGATATAAACTTTAAATAAGCTATTTTAAATATATACTAGGAACAAAATAAAGTTGTGTAAAGAATGAAAAGGAAGTATGAGAATAACGTCTCATCTAATAGAAAATATAAAGAATAGAAATTTGAGAAAGGAGACACAGAAATTATATAGTAACACTAAAAATTCTTTAAAAAGAACATCAGTCAGGAATTCTATATCTAAAAAGGTTGTATTTTGAAAATGAAAATAATTAAGATATATCCAGAAAAACAGAAAGTGAGAAAATTTGTTGGTAGGAAAACTACCCTATAAGTAATGCTGAAGGGAGTATTTTAGGCTGAAATGAAAGGACACGAGGTAGTGAAAGAAATTCATGTAAAGGAACAAAAGGTACCACTACAGGTAACGACATAGGTAAATATGAATTACAATATAAATGTATCTTTGTAACACCTTTTTTCCAATATTTGATATAAATTACATATACATATAGCAAAAGTTATAAATCTGCCCTAATAAGAACATAAAATATACAAATGTAAAATAGACTCATTTCAGGGACTTAAAATGGAAATGGAAAAGATTAATCATGCAAGTAGAAATCAAAATACAGCACAATGAGGCAGAACAGATTTTAAGCCAAAAAGGGTAACAAAATATAAAAATGATCTTTATATAATGATAAAGGGTGAATTCATCAAGAAGACATAACAATCATAAATATATATGCACCCAACATTGGAACACCTAGATATGTTAAGTATTAAGAGATCTGAAGATAGAAATAAACAAAGATAAAATAACAGAAAAGGAACTTTAATACTCCACATTCAGCAATGTATAAATCATTTAGACAGAAAATTAGTAATATAATGTTCAACTCAAACCATACTTTTGGCTAAATGTATGTTACATTAAAACCATTTAAGGATTAGATTCTTAATTTTCATTTTCTTTAAAATTTATCAGGAAATCTTTATTAGTTTACATGAGAATAAGTCCAGATTTATAAAATGTTAGTCTTGTGTACTCTTGTTTTATTCCTCTTACAATCTATAAATGTGAAAAAGTATGTCTCCAAAAAGAAAAGGAAATCAGATAATAACTGAATGTATGATATCACTTCATCTATGAAAAAGTGAGATGAATGGATGTATTTCACTTGACTTCTGGTTGTTCGAAGTTTCTTTGGCATAGTCAGATGAACTGAAAAAGAAATATGTACTCATTTTATTTAGATTTAATATTTCTCTGTGATTGTAAAGAATCATTTTTAAAAAATACCTATGAACAAAACAAGTTATTTATGAAATTTGGACATATATGCTGCATGAACAGTTGTCTGAATCATTCATTAAAAAAGGATTTTGACAAAGTTTATATACTTTTCAGAGTGCTTCTTGTACCAAAATACTATGTGCTTATGTTTATTCAAAAAAGTGCTGTTTTTTGAACAGCACATTTATATATAAACAACACAGATGGCTCATTATGTTTCTATTTTGTGCACTTTGGAAACTTCAAAGTCTTCTGTTCTTTTAAATATGCTCTGATTTCATTTGCTGTGTAGGAGAATCTGCTACAAATCTCTGATACAAGCTTTATCCAAGGCAATGAATGGCCACAATATTTTGATTATTCACAATACACAGTGTTGACACTATTCAGTGACAGTGTTGGGAGACAGCAATCTAAGATACATTACCACAATTTTCTTTGGGTTAATATGTACTTAAAGCTATGGCATAGTTTGATACTTCATTGAATATTAATATAGCCCAAATGTTCATTGCAGGTACACTGTGCAACTTTACTGCTTTTTACTGTGTGATATATTGAATAAAAATGTGCACTAAGTCAGTAGACTGGGAAAAGTTGTCTTTGTCATTATGGGAGATATTTAGTCCTAGTAACTTAGCTTTATAGTTTTGAAGATAAGGAGTAAAAGTTTATATTTTTTCATGTGTAGGATATGTAACACATAAAACTTTTACTCCCAAAGCACCCTCCAGTGCTTGTTTTGACAGCATATATACTAAAATTGATACAGAGAAGATTAGCATGGTCCCTGCACAAGGATGACACCCAAAGCACCCTTGGGATACTCAATAAATATTAATTGCTTTGTTGATAACAAAAACTTTTCTTGAGTTGTCTGTCCAGACCGCATTGATATCTTCAGGGAATTATCAGTTATATCTGTCTACTTTTGTAGTATAGTAAGGCTAAATGTGAAAAAGGCAGAACAGATTTTGATGTTCTGGAATTAATGAGATAATTCAGTAGAGAAGCATTTCTTGAATTGCTGGTGTCAAAAAGTTTGACATGTTTCCATAGCGCATCATTTGTTCCCATTACCTTGGATACAGACTAAAGACACAATGCAACTTCCAGTTCTTCTACTCTGCCTATTTAATTGAGAGGAAGAAAAAGAAATTAATAATATTTCTCACTACTCAGAAGATAGAGAAGGTCAGGATCAGAACTGTAGAGGTTTAAAGTCCATAACCTAAAATCAAGTAGTTGCTTACATGTATGTGTTCATGGTAATTGGTTCGTTGAACGCCTGACTACTCTTAAAAACACGGTGAGAGTTTTTTTCTATGGTTTAGTAATGTGGCTATATATTCTTATTGTGTCATTGCATGTTTTATTTTTGAAATAGAATTATATTTGCAAATTTTATTAGTAAACATAAAGGGAATTAACCGAATGCAATATTATAGTAGTTAGCTACATACACAAGAGGTTAGAAGGCTGAATGCAAATACATATCAATTCTTCAGCTCCCTCAGTTACTAAAATCTAGTTATTCAGAAATCACATTAGAGGTGCAGATTACTTTGGGCCTTCTGCAGAATGAATGTGCATAAAATATATCAAACTCCAAGAGGAAAAACTCTGACATGTACTAGTCAGTTCACCTGTCTAATGAAATCATTCGAGAACTGTGAGCGTAATATTTAAATTGTAAGTGAATAAATACTATCCCTGGTTTAGCAGTTGTGGAAAAGCATGATTGTATCTAGCAATTCATTTCCTGTTAATGAAGCTTTTAATAATCCACTGGCTAGGCTGTCTCTTTAACTAGTAAAATCTGACCTTTAAATGGATACTATATTTTTAAATTGTTTTCTCTTGTATTTTCATAACACAGTTCTTTTTTGGCATATAAAGTACCTTCTTGGTTTTGAAAAGCACATATACATTTCCTGGAAAATAATCATAAAAATTTAAAGTAGAAATATAAAATTGATTTCAGTTTAAACCAACCAAAAGAGATATGTACCATACTCATTAAAGATCTTGTTTGCTGGATTTATTATCTTTTCCTCCAAGCTCATTAAGAAAGAGTCCAGCAAAGGGCTAAGGTCTCAATTAATTTTAATGGGCATGACCAAGATTTAATAAAGTATGTGTTTTAATTGCCTGAGATTAAGCTAAATGGTAGCCTTAGTTTGTTATTGTTATAAATTATATTTTGATCAAGAGGTACAAAATGTTTTTCTAAGAGAAATGGATAAAACTGATAACTTAGGGAAAAGAGCATTAGTTTGTCTAGATAAAATATTTACTGACATAAACTTCAAAAGTAAATGAACTGGCCACTAACTAATCATTACAGAATAAGGTTTCAAATTCAAATGCTGATCCAGATATAACAGGTGGCAGATACCAAAAGCCATCTGCCATTACATTCTTTGTGACTATACAGGTAAACCACCTAAAGCTCTCAATATCTATGTCATGGATTGTAAGCAGTATAATATAAAAGCTGTCCAAAGTGGCATTCATGAAGCCTTAAATCATTAAACCAACCAGTCAAATATTTTGGAGGGACAAAAGTGTTTTGTTTTCAAAATGGTATTAGGTAAATATTTTATTTTGAGAGGTTTTCCCTTGATTCTAGTAGTGTTGGCCAGTTGCCAATAAGATTAATGCTCTATTGAATAGATTCATCCTCAGTGCTATTAGCTAAGTAAAGCTGCCTAAGCATTTTAGATGTTTTAGAAAGCTCAACCCCCATGAATGGTAGAAAAAGAAAACATTCTACTTAGAGAATTCCTACTTCATTATCAGTAGATTAGCCTATTAACTTCATATAATTACAGTGAAAGGAAGAGCACACTTCTTACAAAAGCCAGTAAAGCAAGTTTTATTTTATTTAATAATTCATGAATTTTTCACTACTAAAAATAAATTATTTAAATTATTCTTCAAGAAACCAATGTACTTAGCTCAGTTTAGAACACAGGAATAATGAAAACAGTGTTGTGTGTACAGGCATTTATGTGCATGTGTGTTTGGGACGTGGTGGGTAATTTTATGTGTTGAGTTGTCTAAGGTTTGTTGCCCAATTGTATGTTGGGTCAAACACTTGTCTAAATATGAATGTGATGTTATGTGTATGGATGATAACAATGAACAATCAGTTGACTTTAAAGCAGATTACCCTCTATAATGTGTGTGGACCCCATTTAATCAGTTCAGGGCCTTATAGGCAGAGGCTGAGGTTTCCTAAGGAAGAAATTTTGTCTCAAGACAGCAGCATAGAAACCATACTTGAGTTTCTAGTCTGCTGGTCTGTCTTATGGATTTCAGACTCAAAACTACAAGAGCAGTTCTTACCTAAATTTCCATTTTGCTGACTTTCTCTACAAATTTCAGACATGTCATTCTCCACAATCACGTGATCATGTGATCTAGATCCTTAAAATAAATCAATCTGTCTTCATAGATATATAGATATATATATATGAGGGGGGACACAAAAACCAAATATTTATTTTTTTAAAAATTGTGTATTATTCTTACATGTTTAAATTTCAGTCACCTTCAAAGTATTCTGCATTTGATATAATACACCTATCAAGACCTTTTTTCCAGAGCTTAAAACAGTTTTTGAGCTTGTTGATTTTGACACCTTTTAATGCTTCTGCCATTTCTATTCCTCCTATTCCACGTTGGCAAAATGTTTCCCTTTGAGGAATTTTTTCATCCCTGGAAACAAAATAAAGTCACTCAGGGTGTGATTGGGGGAATAGGGAGGGTGAGACATGGGGGACTGGGGGCCATGGCATTTTTGGCCAAAAACCGCTAAACACTAAGCACAATGTGGGCAGGTGCACTCACAAATCACCCATCATTAAATGGTCAAACGTGTTCAAAGAGTCTTAAAAAAAATCACTGAAGCTGGATACATCCTCTCACAACAATACCAGTTGACACACTGATACAGATGGGTTCCTAGAACACTCATCTAGCAAGGAAAACCTGTACTTTTACAAGGGGCCTGCCCTCCAGAAGATAATTCCAGTTTTTGAGGGTCCCACTCATATAGATATGGATCCTATTGGTTCAGTTTCTTGGGAGAATCCTTACTCACTAACATTATGCTAAACATATATCTCACAAAGAAGGTATTTTATGCAATGGGAATAGCATATAAGGATGGACCACGTGATATAAAACTACAACCACTGAAAAATCTCAGTGACTTTGTTCTCCCACAGAGTACCTGGGATGGAAAATGAAAAAGAATATGACAGAAAAACAAAAGATTTTAGAAATAACCTCAAACTCTAAAGTAAATGAGATTTTTCTTATCATCATTCATTATCACAAGAAAAGCATAAAATTCAACTTTGTGACTGACAAGTAGTCTACTAAATGAGACTGTTAAGTTTGGTAAATATCAAGCATACCTATACCCGACACACACTATTAAGGAAACTTCTGCTTTAGGTTTCTTCAGCTAATTATTATGACTTCCATGATGCCAGAGACTTATTTTCAATTGACATCCATAGCCAACTTGCCTTTTGCAAACAAACAAGTACAAAGATTGATTAGGTCTTGAGCTCTTTATATTCTGGGTCTTTGACTTTTCCACCTAGTGGCATAGTTAGTGCAGTGAACTTGAATTATTTTGCACTAATTGTGACAATGCCAAATGCATGTGTCTGTATGTTGGTGTGTGTTCTTTTTTGGTTCTCAGTTTGAGCCTGGTAATAGTTGCAGAATCAACACAGCTAGTTGGAAATGATGTATGAAATTTAAAAATCTCTGGCCGCTGCATCAGAGAAAGCTGAGTAGAGAGGAAATGCTGTTCAGAGTTTCTCTGCAGTTTAGTTCATGAATATCTCCATATACTGCCAAATCAAGGAGAGGAAGACTGAAACCCACCAAATTTGGGAGTATTAAACTTTTCTTTATTGCATTCTAGTCTTTCTTATTTTTGTTTGACATTTTTTCTTAAACTTATTTTTTATTGATAAGTATGTAGTTATTGCCATTTTATTATTAATACTCTTGTTGTTGCTCAAGTACAGTTGTCTCCACTTTACCCCCACCACTCCCCCCTACCACCCCCACCCCCACCTCCCACCCTCAATCCTTCCCCCCTTTGGCTTTGTCCATGTGTCTTTTATACATGTTCCTTGAAGTAAAATGCCTGATAGATGCTTTAATTGTGGAAATTAAAAATAATAATAAATAGTAATGTTCAAATATCTAGAGACAAGAAGGGAAATAGAGTACTTGGGATCTTTGCCAGGTGCAAGTCATTTAATTTCAAAGAGGTTTTCCTTACTATGTTCTCCCTAGATAGCCTGCATATGATATGTCTACTGTTCCATATACCTCCAATTATCTTCTAATTTTCCATTCATTTGTGGTTTTGTGTATGATTAATGCTAATGCAGCATGTGTTAACTTGTTACCTGTTGATTCAGTAAATTGAGTGAAATAAGCAGCCAGTTTTTGGAAAAGAGAAGAGACACAACTAGTTATTTTTTTGAATCACTAGTCCCCTTCATCTAAAATCAGCCCAGTATATTTTGAGACAGTTTACTTTGTGATACCTCAGAACATGATAGTGGTTAAGAGTTCCAAACTGGAGTCACATCACCAGGGTTTGAATTATGGTTCCATTTTTGCTAATATGCATCTCTGGTAAAAATCATTTATACTTTTTGTGCTTCCCCACCTCCATCCATAAAATCATGTTATTCTACTACTTATACCATTTTTGTAAAAATTACTATTTTGAAGATTGAATGAGATAACAAATGTAACACTTTTTAGAGAATGCCTGACATGTAAAGTGAGCTGAAT